GTATTTTTGTCTCCGCTTGTGCTGAATGAAAAGAGACGTTCCTATTCAGGTTTTCTTAAATGCTCAGCGCTGCAGAAACCCACCACAGAGCTGCACTGCAAAATGAGATGTGCCAGAGAGCAACAACAACCTTTAGCAATGAATTCAACATACAAATACATAATACACACTGATTAAGTAAAATATCTCCAAAATAGATACAGTTTGGCTTCAAGGCATTCCATTTTTTTATTCACGCTGCCAAGTTATACAAAAACTCCCAACACTACCCCACAATTAGATTTCCCCCTAATGAGTAAACATTTATTTGCATACTTGACACTAACGACCGATCGGTTATTCCTTAATGGCCTCATATTTCTCTAATTGTATGAGTGAGCAAAGCTAATTAATTAGCAATTACCTGCTAATGGTTGCATCAGCCTAAAGCCTATTAGCTTCCAATAAATACTTATTAAGAGGCCCTGATTGCTAAGTAGCTTATCATCAACATGTTCAGCGTCTGATAATTGCAGCGTGTTCCCTTTATTTTGTGGTGATGAGAATACAGCGATGGGACTGGGGGATGAATTGGTGCGATTTCCAACAACTCCTAGGATAATTGCTTGGCAGTAACAAGCAATAACAATAATAACAACAATAACAACGAGTAGAAAGTTACGTTTAACTGAGGAAAGTTGCACAAAGAAGCGTTTTTTGGTCCATTTGCAGACATTAACATCTGGGATTTTCTACTCTTGGATTTTCTACTCTTGGATTTTCTATTCTTGGATTTTCTACTCTTGGATTTTCTACTCTTGGATTTTCTACTCTTGGATGTTCTATTCTTGGCAGCTCCTCTCATGTATCTTTTGCTGCTGCAACACAAACATTTCCCAAATTGGGATCAATAAAGTATTTCTTATCTTAACTTAACAGGGCACATTGACAGATCGCAGGGATAATGTCTTTCCTTTTTATATTTTCATATATAACTATTTAAAGTGGACCTATCATGCTATATGGTAAATGGACTGTACTTATATAGCGCTTTATCCAGTCTGTAAGACCCCTCAAAGCGCTTTACATACTACATGTCATTCACCCATTCACACCCATTCATACAGAGCAGTGTACCTTACTCTAGGACCTAACATTCACACACCGTTGGCATACCGGGCATACCTGCCTAAAACTTTGACTTGAATGTCTTGTTTATTAATCAACTAATGGACAGTGTTTCAACAGTGGACAGTGGACAGTGTATGCCCGGTGTGGTCGGTGCTATTGACGGGACGCACATAAAAATAATTGCGCCAACAAAAGATGAGGACGTGTTCTTCAATAGAAAGAAAGTACATTCCATCAACACGCAGATTGTTTTCGAATATATATATATATATATA